CCCTCAATATTCCAGCAGAGTACATTTAGCAGTTTAGTCATATTTATGGTTACTTAGAAAAACCTCTCTTGGTTCCCATTTGTGAATACTAATGCCCGCAGGCCAAAATTGTATAATATGCTCGTCCTCAGCTAATATATGCAGTTGCGATGAGGCGGTATTCTTCCACTTACTCTCAAAGTATCTTAAAAATGTTACCGTGACATTAGCTTCGTTCAGGAAGTCCCTCATTGCTGCTTCAGATGAGACATTTCTGTTCATTCTATACACATAAAACCGCCGGATCTTCCGTCCTTGTTATCTACGGTACATGGATCCAATTAATTATATCTGCTAAATTACATTTAGGCACAGGATTACATAGTGAAGCAGGAAAGTGAGCTTGTATCTTTGGCTCTGCATGATCTGGTTTCTGAGAGTTATTTAAATGGAATTTAAATCCCTGATAGCAGAATTTCAGGTCAATAATATCTTATGAATAAAACAATAATTTTATTATATGTATTATTATCATTAACACATGAAATGTACAATATACATGAAAAAGCACGTTCGTCTAACAGACCTAAATGAGCCATTCAGTAATTAATTATTTAAGACAGATTAAAACGGGGGTGTTGTCATTAATTTATATGAACGTGGCTGAATTTAGTTCACGCCTGTAAGTGACTAGTGTATGTATTGTAGACGTCTGTTAGTTTTGCGGACGTATCTCTATGTTGTGAACGTATCTTAGTGTTGTGAACTACTCATAGTGTCTGGACGTATGTAATTTATTTGGGCGTGTGTCTGTCCATGTTAAGTGTTGTGGACATGTCGTGTCTTAGTTTAATAGACATTTCTTAGTGCTGTGGGTGTTTCGTGTTGTTGTGGACGTATCTGACTGTTGTGAACGAGCCTTGGTGTTGATAGGTGCGTCTAAGTATTATGGATAAACCTTGATGTAGTAGACGCGTCTTAGTCTTGTGTTGTGAACTTCTCCACTTGTCTTAGTCTTGTCGACGTGTCAAAGTGTTTTGAAAGAGTCTTAATGTTGTGAACGCGTTTTATAGTTGTGCACGCGTCCAAGTGTTGTGGAAGGTGTTTTGTGAAGGTGATTGAGTGCTTCAGAAATACCAACATGTTAACATAATCATAATCCAAACTCAAATACATTCAAACTAGGGCAACATAAAGAAAAGAAAGATTTACACGGTGGCTCTTGAAAGAGTACAAGCAGAATAAGACCAGGTCTTCCGGAAAGTTGAACGTCTTCTGCTTTATCAATGACACTCGCCATTTAAATCTTGTTCAATCTAAGAAAGTATTGTCAAGTCCCCAAGTGAGAACAAGTTATACAACAACGAACCGACAGACAAACTAACAAGACTCAGAAGCGTCCAACTTCATATCACATATAAAATAGTATATTTCTCAATGACGTTAAGAGTGTTTCTGGATGTCACTGAAGTGTGTGTGCAAGTTAATTTAAGATTAGAAACAAGAGGCCCATCTTACAAGCAATGGTAAGAACTGACAGTATTTCTGATATTGATTTACATTTATTATTAACAGCTAATAGTTGTCTGCTGTTTAAAGAATTATAAAAAAATCATCACATGTTTTGTTTTTTATTTGTCTATTTCATTATATCTAGGAACATTTATCTTATAGTGATATAGTGACAGCTGTCAGTTGCTCACTTATTATGAGTCCATACTAGTTTATGGATCTTGTGGGTTGCTCACTTATTATGTTCCATACTAGTTTATGGAGAAATTACTGAAATTAGCATGTCTATGTGTGCTTGATGATGAAGATAATGATGTTGACTGTTTAAACATATTTTATTGTGTGACGAGGATGATGATTGTATATGATGACCAAAATAAATTTGAACAAGGGAATTGGGCACAAGTTATTACAACTTATTGGAGCCCTCTCCCAACATACATTTTCAAATACATGTTTATAAAGAGATAGGCTTAAACATAAATTATACATATTAAGCATTCACACACAGACATAAATACGTCATCGTATAAGAATCTTTTAAAACCTTTTGCTGGATTTAATGAAATTTTGCACATGTGCAAAGACAAAATAGTTTAGGTCCTCAGAAAGATCGTTATTACCAAATAAAAGAAGCTCTAAATTCAAATCTACTTTTAACTCAGCCAAATTTTGAAACAAAATGTGTCTTTCATTTCTGAAAGTTTGACACTCGAAGAAGAAGTGAAAGGCATTCTCACAAGGATGTCCACAGGAGCACACTGGATTTTCAGCAAGATTTACTCGATAAAGATCGTATTTAAGGGAACTACAACTGTGTCTAAGTTTAGTATGTATTATGTTTAACTTCCGTTCACCATAACTAAAATAGATAGGTGGGGATTGTTGTGTATTTAAAGTAAGTGAGGTTTTAAACAAATTTATGGAAGGCAGTGACCGTACAGAGAAATCTAACAAATTCCAGCTACGAAGTGTAGAAGGTATAAAAGAGAGGTTTGTAAGAGAAAGCCCAAATAGAGGAACTCTATAATCATTGTTATTTCTAAGATTGTATCGGTTATTATCTGCAACAATAGGTGGCAAGAGATCGTTTAAATAATCTGGAGTTAGCTTGTTATGCATTTTAAATAAAAGTTGAAGTTTTCTTCGTTTTCGACGATTCGAAAGTGTATCTAAACCAGTTTCAAAATGTAAATTTTCTATACGTGCATAAGAAGGAAGGCCAGTTATAATACGAGCAGCTTCTCTTTGGGCTTTCTCTAATTTATCTGATTCAGTATTAGTGCAACCGTCCCACAATTCACACGTATACTCTAAAATTGGTAAAATAAAAGCTTTGTAAATTTTTAGGAGACTATTTCTATTTAACAAATATTTCAACCTTCTTAAAACATTGATTTTCTTCATAACAGACATATATGTAGCATTGATATGATCCCCCCATTTTGCGCTAGAATTAAAGATTACCCCAAAATGCCTATGATGATCAGTAAAATTCAAATCTTTCCCATCTAACTTCAGGTCTAAATCATCATCTATGTCAATCGAATTAGAAACAAATATTACCTCAGTTTTATCTGGATTGAAAGTAACCAACCAAGTTTTAGCCCAAAAGTTTAAAGAATCAAGATCCCTATTTAAGACAGTTTGGATTTCAAGACATGATGAGGAAGACTTTAATAAAGAAGTGTCGTCTGCAAAAAGGCGAGCAGATGATTCAAGCACATCGGCAATATCATTTATGTATATAAGAAACAAGTTTCTAAGTGACAATATGTATAATGATCTTTTTTCTTAGTATTAGAGCAGTATATCAATTTATTAAGTAATATTGTCTTGTATTTACGTGTAATGCAACATAAGACAAAAACGAAGGTCCGTCTTTATTTCACAAACAACATTTATTTAGCAACACAATGTCGTTTACTGTACAGTTGAGTATTAATAGGCACTTTTTACCCCCAATAATCTACAATAAGTTTGTGACTACTGTGTGGGATTACGGAAGAGCTCTCTCACAAAAGTACACCGATCATACTTACAAAACCATTCTCTCATACCATTTATACGTCTTTGTGTACATTTACACTCGCATCAAACACTTACACTATTAAATATTTGCATTACAAAATATATATTAAAAACTAATTATACGTGTGATAATACATTAATATTATAGCTACAGAATGCGGTGATAGGTTTATAAAAAAATATTATTTACATTGTACAAATAAATCACTATTATACATATATAATACATATTATACACGAACATTACCAAACATATTTCATCCTTTCATTAAAATGTAGTCTTAGAATTTATGGTAAATTATTCTTTGTAAAAATATTTCATGCGCGGTCAACCATGCCATCTTACCTACAGGCAATAACATCCCTTTCGTTTCACAGGTAAGTGAAATCTTGTAAGAAAAGAAAGGATGAAAAATGTTGTGATCGTTATTTTAAGCACTATCACAATACAGCTTTGGAGAACTCCATTATACAATGGCGTTTTATGTACAAGGGGAATAACTCTCATAACAAAGGAAATAGCAATCGGGAACACTCGGCACTTTCCGCAAATTTTTATTTTCTCGCTTGCGGAAAGTGTCGAGGGTTCCCGATTGAGGAAAAAGCTTTGTCAACAAGGGAGGCTATGCATACGTGATATGATGATCAAGCTCTAGAGGGCTACGTTTTACACTTGTCTATATATATATATATATATATATATAAAAGGAAGTAAGGCTTTGCTTCAACTAAATACAAATTATGGTCATTGAGTTTTTTATGGAGTATATTTAGGGGGAAAACATCATACAATATATACATGACTAAGGAATCAACATAGAGGGATAAAAAGGAGAAAATAGCGGCAACATTTTAGATACAGCTAAGGGGAGATAACTATGAAATACTATGAAATAGTAAATTCTAACTACTTATTGCACTATTGCCTCGCCAGTTATACTTCACTCTAATGAGCCAGTATATAAACACGATAAATAACAGTTATAAACACATGAATCAAGACACGACATACATTCATACTTATAAAAGGTGTTTCAAGCAACGTCCCAGGAAGAAGCAATTTTAACTCGCTGTAACAATGTTAAACAGCGTAACATATTTTTCAGAACTATTTTTTTCTGAATTTCTCTTTCGTTCATACATATCTATCATAAATACACAATCGCACAACAGATTTACATCAAATTCTTTAAAAAAAATATTTGTAAGTTCATTAAAATCAACACGTGTTCGTAACTCACGCAAAATCGATTTCACTCTAAAGTTAGGTATAAAACCACACCTTTGAAAATTAAATCGATTTTGTTGTTGGAACTAAAATTGGCACCATGCGGAACAAAGAAACAGTGCTTATAATTTTCATTTTTGCATGTATTACTAAATAAAAACTAATTTCCGTCACTAATATCTTTCAAACCAATTTCACATAATTCATTCAATCTTGCAAAAGTTCATTATGACAACACATCCGGTATTGTTTACTTGTGAGTGAATTGCATGTTCTTTTCCCACCTTGCAGAAAGACACTCCTTCGGAACAATAAAATCGTTCGGGTTCGGAATACCTAGGACAAGATCGTACCAGGAAGTGGTGACGGAGCTGGTTACATTATTGTCAGAAACTTCGATCATTCTGATTGGATAACAGTTGACCAATGAAAACTGTATATAGTACATGGCATCTAAAATGAAAGAAAAGTAAAAATGGATAAACATACGTGTTGCGCGTAGTCTGAACACCCCGTATTACTATAGCACTGTTTTTAACACCCATGTATTAACATTAATCAGTCGATTCAAATTGAAAAAAAAAATAACGACCGAAACATTCTTTACATTGAAGACATATATCTGATTGAGGCTTCACTCTTTTATTTTGTCAGGAGATCAATATTCTTAATCATGGTTCCAAGATAAAACACCCAAACCATATCAAACGTATAAACTATATTCAGTTTCATAGGGAAAATGATATCACGGTCTGTGAGCAATTCATTATCGGATTTACACGCACCTTCAAATATACTGGACATTACTTGGATGTATAAGCTTATATCCACCCAAAATGCCACATAGTACAATAAATCTTTAGCCGACAATCCAAGGGTGACGTCTTCCTATCATTAACTAGCGTGACCTTTAACCCAAACAAACACTCCTATTTTATGAATACTTACTTTTCCGATATGGAATCTTGTCTGACCATTCCTGGACAACAAAACTCTCTCCTGGTCCACCTAGAGTCATCTCCCCTTCAAATGTAGCGTTGCCAGGGATTTCGATTGGGCGCCATGGTCTCGGAATAGACTTTGTGCATTCTTTGCTCCTGATGTCGATTCGGTACATTACATTCTCGTTTGCGAACTCCATGTACTCGTAAAATCTGTTGGTCATAAGTATCTTTTTCTTTAATCTTTTATAAATCACTATATCGTCCTAATATCAGAACCCTTTTACACGGCACGGTCTTGTGGGACATTTGAGAATAGTTTACGACGTGAAGACAGAGTTTTCAAGACAGGATCATAACGATACATGTCAAAGAGAGCAACATTTTCTAGAGTCAACATTGGGGAAGTTCATGCATGCGATACGAAACTCTGTTTACAATGACATATTTCACGTAATAAATTCGCCAAGCTGCAAACTTGTGTAAAGGGAAAACACAAGTTCAATTATGCATTTTATAAAGCATTTTTGCTGATATATCGTTGAATTTATATAGACAAAAGTCAGCGTGTTTGTAACATCTTTTAATCATTAATCCCACAATTAATTTCAAAAATATATTTTCATTTTAATTGTTAACTGGTGTGTGAATTTCTTTTTATTGAAATTTCAAATGACGCGTGTTAGTTGAAACATTTGTGTAGAACGTTAAACGCACTGGCGAAACAGCACGACTTACAGAATAGCGAAACAGCTGAATCCAATTTGGCGGGAAAGGATGTCAGATTCAAAAAGTACACCAAATGTAGTTCTAACTTTTTTCTGATCATTCAAGTATTCGTGTTGTAATTAACATTTCTAACAGAGAAATTCTCAAAATGCAAGGGCCAGGTGTGTGTGCATGCATCGAGCATTTCATAAGTGTCTACTTACTTCTGCCCAGGCATTCCTTCGTCCATCTCTTCGAACAACACTCGGCGCTTGTTGACCGCGTCGTAGATGTAGACATATCTGTTGACGAAGTCCGCCTCATGGTCATAAAGTGATGCTCGTGCCTGATGAAGGTATAAATTGTATATGACATCAAATATCTAAATCATGAAGATAATTTGTTAGTATTCATTTATGCAATATACGAATTGTTAAAAAATAAAAATACTTTTTGAAATTGTATGTATAGATACACGTTGTGTTGGACAAGTATTGTAATATATATACGGATTACGTCCCAAAATGATTTTTGAAGATTTAAAAAAAATCACTATTTAACAGGAAAAGACGGACATTTTAAAGGAATTGAAAAATACTACTGGTCTCCATTTTACCACCAAATTACTAGATAAAGAGAGAATAGTGTACCAGAAACTTACGTGAAACTGTGAGGGTGCTATGCACGGTTGTGGGTTTTGTGCCTGGATGGCCACAAAACATACTAATACGGACAATAGAATAGTCTGTAACATCTTCAGTCTGACCTGAGGATAAAATAAATCAAAAATTAAACGGGAAGTGTATGTAGATAAGTCGGACCATTTGATAAACTTTATTTACAACTGATGTCATATTCGAATGCAAAAACAACCCTATCCTGGCGGCAACCGAAATATTTTTGAAACGGATTTTCCATCAAGGGTTTAGCTGGTATTACCGATATTATTTTTTTCAATTCTTGTGTTACTTCATTCCTAGTAATTGTATGATCAATATTTACTTCTTTAACGTTTCTATTTAAACACATTTTATTGATTGAACAATTTCAATGGGATTGGTTACAAATTATCTTAAGCTCTCTCTCCATCAAGTTTGACAAAATACATAATGACAAGACAAAACGAGATGTTTAAATACGCAATTACACAGAGATATATACGGACGATGTAAGAATTATTAGAATAATATTTTACACTTCATTTTACATCTAAAAAACAACGATTTAATTGTTTCATATTTAAATGTTTCCTTTCGAAACAAATAGAGTAATACCATGTGATTTCCCTTAAAAAAAAACAAAAAAAAAACGACTGGAGTATTCAATTCAAGAGCTGAGATAAGAAATTTTACCACTGTGCTATCGTTACGTTATCGATTCTACACCTATGGATTGTAGTGTTTGAAATGTCTATGTTTCTTTCAAAAAAGGAAATTGAACCCCGTTTGTCTGTTAAACGTATTATTGATACCTAGAGAAGTTTAACACAATCGTCCAGTGTCTTTCGATCACTTTGGATTTTCCTTAGTCGCCTCTTGGGCTTCAGAAGTTTAGTCCCTTAATATCACAGACTTGAGGAATAGGGCGACACTGTTGGAAGGTGCAGTTTACTTGGCGTTAGAACGCTTCCTTTTTGAGAGGATACACCCCCACCATCCACCCTTTTGTGTATGTCTTATATATGCCCTATAAAGTCGGCTGTGTGGGTGAACACTCATTTGCATACATGGTACACAGTTTCACTTCAAATTCAATGCAACTAATCAAACCAAACCTTCTGAGTGGTAGTATTGTTTATAATAACCATTTGGTTATTTTACGTAAGAATATTTTTACGAAAAAAATCGAAAGATGGTGAGATTTTGAAGCTATTGGGTACTGGTGTAGCGGATCTGTTTTGAATGCGTTCAATATACGTTACCTATACCGTGATACACAAAGGATATCAAGTAAAAATATTAAATAAAATTATCTAAACGGAGGTGAGGACCGAAATTTAATTTCACAATTTACAAAATGTAATACCCGACATTACTTCACTGTCTGATTTCGTTAGTATTCTTAGTGTATTAGTGTATTTTGAAGTGAATAGATCTGAAACACCGCGTTTAAGATTTTTTCCTGTTGTATATATAGAATACAAAAGCGAGATTAGAACACGGCTTCATAAGGAAGTCAAGTGTGACTTTGCAGGCAAGCGTGGGCTGTCACGTGACCAAAGCTCCCGAAAATAGTGTTCTCCTTATCCCATTTCTTATTCGCTTTTATCAATGTGACCATAGCATGTCCATTTCGGTCTGCTGAGTTTATGTATACTCTTGAGGATTTAGAGGAAATGTGGAATCTTTTAATTCGTTTATTTAAATTTTAATTACCTGTAGTAAATTGCATATTGTCGATATGCTGTATGATCCAGGGTCCCTTATTATGAGAACCCCTGTGGTTTACCTGGACATGTTTGAACTATAGCCATCACTTTCGTGAGCTAATTTCTCATTGTCTGGCTCTATGTCCAATATGATTTTACACATTACTACAGTCAATATGCGATAGAATCATCTGATTTGGCCAGGAGCGTATGATAAAGACACTCATGGATTTGATTTAAAACAAATAAACTGCGAGAAGATCTAGAATTAGAAAAAAATCGAACAGAACAATTGATTATTACTGTATCAATTGAAATTAATAAGATTAACAACTGAAAACTCTTGACCAAGGATTCTAATAGGAAGAGATCAACAACAACTAGGTCATTGCACTACGGAAAAAAGGACAATGATTAGAAATTGATTAACCCCAGTAAGTCTCGAACTTATTGAACTCGTACATTTTATTTTTCATTAAGATTTATGAGTTACATTTATAAATAGCAGTCAAGGAGTCAATTTATCTATGTAATCCATTTGCTTGGTTGTTGAAACATCATTCTCTGTTCTTGATTTTCAAGCAACAGGTTTGTGATTTTTTGCAAATCCAATATGCTGATATACGATAAAATAAATGTGATACTAGCTCGCCAACGTAATTAAATCTGCTTTTAACCAAGTCTTAAAAGTCAACTATGTCAGGTAAAATCAGAAACGTATTTCTACTTTTCTTAGTTGTTTCAAATGTTAGAAAATGCATGTCTGTATCTATTTTGATATTTGATTATTATAATTGTCTAGAAACGTGCTAATTATAACGTATAAATTGATAATTTCTGTACGATGATTATATTACGTAACAGTTTGAATTGAAATACTGTATCAGTTATAGTTAATTAGCGTTGCTGTCTTTATGTATCATTTTTCTAAAAAAAAACTCATAATAAATCTTTTCAAAACAAACAGTATAGTAGAAATCTCAAATTTCAAATTGAACTCGCTAATTCTGTGACAAAAAAAAATCTGCTTACATAGATTCTTTTAAAATTGATATGCTTGATTCCTACATTTCCTTTTTGTGAATATTATAATCTTAGTTTTTTGTATAATAACATTTAACTTCCGGGTTTGACAATAACCATTAAAGATAAACTTTCAGCGGATTCAAATAGAATTACATATATGCCATATAAGCAATTTATGTAATTTCGTGTAAATCAGTCTCTCCTAACCGGACAACGTTTAACGTTAAAATGACAGATCCACACAATCTATGTCTGCTATATGTAATGCTAGGTACGGTGTACACAATGATTATATATAAACTGAAGCAATTTGTTCTAAGATTGAACAATATGCGTAAACTCGCAAATGTCAGAATACACGAAAATAACAGAACAGTTACAATAAAGAACTTCAATTCAAATAATTCAGTGGACTTATACAGTAACGAAAACGGGATACGGATTTTTAATCCGGTTACTGAGAGAACTAAAGATATCGCTCAGCATTTCACAATGTCAAAACAAATAAAAAAGTTTCTTATTTGAGCATCCGGTGATATTGACCGTTAAAAAGTGCAGTGAATAAGTAGATAAGACTATGTGACATGATTTTAAAGCAATAAAAACATATATTTAAAATACGTATTAAATAAAACAATACACATCCGATATAAAACAAAATATATACACTTATAAACTGAAAACGCTTGTTGAATTGTTGGACTTTCCCCAGAAATAATGCCATATCTTGTCTGATCACTTGATGGATGGCAAGGACGCTAACCACTGTGAAACGCGACTACGTGTACCAGATTGTTTCTGATGTAAGCTCATTTTCTTTGGTTCACGGTTATACCTTAGCAAGGTTCTTTAACAATATAATGATTCGATGCTGAAGATTCAGATCAATATATCGTTTAATCTCTTTGTTCGACGATAGTATAAGAATGATAGAATATCAATATACATCTATAGATTTTACCAGTAGGTATAATGTATAATGTGATTGAATGAAATAAGAGCTGAAAACAAATTCAGTATGTCAATATATAAGTTAAAGTACTTACATGTGCTTTAAGTCTGTAGAAGTTAATTATGCTGTTGGAGGAGGTGGTTTTATACCTACGTCACGTGACTCCTGGACCCTGACCCCTAGACATGATCCTGAATGAACCCGTCGTTATCATTACATCCGGCGGTCTCTACGATTGTCCTTAACATAATAGGATAAATGACGAGGTAGCAAGATGAGGCGACTTATCTAAGTGCGTTTATCAGGGGAATACGATGCTGAAGTAGCAGTTATTACAACCTATGTATATGATATCTGGTGTGTAAAACTTTGACCCAGTCGTCAGTGATCGGACAAGCAGATAACAGAAGTGGTCTCCTCATATCTTAATCAGAGTAGCTGTTACATTCATAATGATAAAGACTTGTGCATAAACAAATAGAGGCATATTACCCGTTAACGTTAGTACTACCTGAGGAACGGTACAATGGTAGGGGTCTGAGCGTGTCCCGTGGGTAGGTATGTATTATACAGCTAGTCTGAGCCTGTTCAGAAACATGTTAACACTACAACAATACATTTACGTACACTTTAGTCGAACGAGAAATAAATATATGTCCGGTATAGGATGAATTGTGTTGTCAATTTCACAAACGTTAAACAATGAAAGCCAGACATATTGCAAATCTGTGTTGAAAAGAAGGCGTCAAGCAAATATTTCTTTAATATGTAGTCGTGTTATCGATTTTGGGTCTGAGTTTAGATGCTTTTATCACCACAATGAGGGTAGATAATCATTTGACTGTACGCTGTTTAATCTTCATCGTTATATTCTAAACATGGTGGCATCAATTTGTTTTCTTGACACGGACTCCTCTTTTTATTCAAATATTTACATAATTGTTTTTTTTCTAAATTTGTCGAATACATATAAAACATGTTACGTATGTAAACATTGTTCTAAGGTATTACGATAAGAGCATTGTATGTATTTTATTTATAATGAAATCTAATCTCATTGTAAGAAGAAATAAGGAGTACCTAGTGAAGTAGGAACGATTGACCTTATGGAGTCAAATGTTAATAAAACCATTCCACATCAATCATTGTGTAAGATTTAGCTATTATACGACATAACGAATATGGACAGAGTGAGGTGTGATAGAAATTATCTTAATCTGAATTGACTACAGTTAATAATCACTTACATAGGAACAGTTGGAATCAAAGAATGGGGAATAAATTGTGTCAGTAGTAACCATGACTACTGAGTCTGAATATTTTTATCTCCATTCACAAAAGGAGACTTGCTTCATGGGACCCTGATAATTTGTGTCTTATCACAGTCTAAGTTACGATGTAAATGAAGTATATTTAAATTAAAAATCATTATAAATCCAAATTTATTTCTGTTAACCATTGATTTGTTTGTATTTGGAATTTTTCACTAGTTTAAGAAATAGTTCCAGAATACTATGGCATTTATAGTACTGATAATATCCACTTTTTAATTGACAAAATATATTTACTTTATTTTTACAATGACAATTCTATGAATATAGCAAATCATATGACGTCTTAAATACAACATTTGTTATCGTTATATCGTTAGGTACAACATTTGTTATCGATAGGTACAACATTTGTTATCGTAAGGTACAACATTTATTATCGTTAGGTACAACATTTATTATCGTTAGGTACAACATTTGTTATCGTTAGGCACAACATTTATTATCGATAGGTACAACATTTATTATCGTAAGGTACAACATTTATTATCATTAGGTACAACATTTATTATCGTTAGGTACAACATTTGTTATCGTTAGGTACAACATTTATTATCGATAGGTACAACATTTATTATCGTAAGGTACAACATTTATTATCGTAAGGTACAATATTTATTATCGATAGGTACAACATTTATTATCATTAGGTACAACATTTGCTATCTTTAGGTACAACATTTGTTATCGTTAGGTACAACTTTTATTATCGTTAGGTACAACATTTGCTATCGTAAGGTACAACATTTGTTATCGTAAGTTACAACATTTATTATCGTAAGGTACAACATTTGTTATCGTTAGGTACAACATTTGCTATCGTAAGGTACAACATTTGCTATCGTAAGGTACAACATTTGTTATCTTTAGGTACAACATTTGTTATCGTAAGTTACAACATTTATTATCGTAAGGTACAACATTTGTTATCATTAGGTACAACATTTATTATCGTTAGGTACAACATTTATTATCGTTAGGTACAACATGTGTTATCGTAAGTTACAACATTTATTATCGTAAGGTACAACATTTGTTATCGTTAGGTAAAACATTTGCTATCGTAAGGTACAACATGTGTTATCATTAGGTACAACATTTGCTATCATAGGTACAACATTTGTTATCATAAGGTACAACATTTGTTATCGTAAGGTACAACATTTATTATCGTTAGGTACAACATATATTATCTTTAGGTACAACATGTGTTATCGTTAGGTACAACATTTGTTATCGTTAGGTACAACATTTATTATCGTTAGGTACAACATTTGTTATCATTAGGTACAACATGTGTTATCGTTAGGTACAACATTTGTTATCGTTAGGAACAACATTTATTATCGTTAGGAACAACATTTATTATCGTTAGGAACAACATTTATTATCGTTAGGTACAACATTTGTTATCATTAGGTACAACATGTGTTATCGTTAGGTACAACATTTGTTATCGTTAGGAACAACATTTATTATCGTTAGGAACAACATTTATTATCGTTAGGTACAACATTTGTTATCTTTAGGTACAACATTTATTATCGTTAGGAACAACATTTATTATCGTTAGGTACAACATTTGTTATCGTTAGGTACAACATGTGTTATCGTTAGGTACAACATTTGTTATCATTAGGTACAACATTTATTATCGTTAGGTACAACATTTATTATCGTTAGGTACAACATTTGTTATCGTTAGGTACAACATGTGTTATCGTTAGGTACAATATTTATTATCGTTAGGTACAACATTTGCTATCGTTAGGTACAACATGTGTTATCGTTAGGTACAGCATTTATTATCGTTAGGTACAACATTTGTTATCATTAGGTACAACATTTATTATCGTTAGGTACAACATTTATTATCGTTAGGTACAACATTTGTTATCGTTAGGTACAACATGTGTTATCGTTAGGTACAACATTTGTTATCGTTAGGTACAATATTTATTATCGTTAGATACAACATTTGCTATCGTTAGGTACAACATGTGTTATCGTTAGGAACAACATTTATTATCGTTAGGAACAACATTTATTATCGTTAGGAACAACATTTATTATCGTTAGGTACAACATTTCCTATCGTTAGGTACAACATGTGTTATCTTTAGGTACAACATTTGTTATCATTAGGTACAACATTTGTTATTGATAGATACAACATGTTTTATCGTTAAGTACAACATTTATTATCGTAAGGTACAATATTTGTTATCTTTAGGTACAACATTTGCTATCGTGAGTTACAACATTTGCTATTATTAGGTACAATTTTTTTACGTAACCATAACTTTCGATGCAGAAGATTCAAACGCTATGATTTAAGTTTCTGTTCATATTTTTTTTATTTAAACGAACATGAATAAGTTAATTTATTAGATTATCATTTAAGTGTCAATACATATTTTATTTTGACGCCAAAATCACTACGCGATTTGTGTACTTCTGACTAATGATTAAAAACACATAGACAGCAATGTGAACCTATAGCATGTTCTGGAATGAGATACTAGTTTAATGAACCCATAGCCAGCCCTGGAATGAGATACCAGGTAAATGAACCCATAGCCAGCTCTGGAATGAGATACCAGGTAAATGAACCCATAGCCAGCTCTGGAATGAAATACCAGGTAAATGAACCCATAGCCAGCTCTGGAATGAGATACTAGGTAAATGAACTCATAGCCAGCTCTGGAATGAGATACCAGGTAAATGAACCCATAGCCAGCTCTGGAATGAAATACCAGGTAAATGAACCCATAGCCAGCTCTGGAATGAAATACCAGGTAAATGAACCCATAGCCAGCTCTGGAATGAGATACCAGGTAAATGAACCCATAGCCAGCTCTGGAATGAAATACCAGGTAAATGAACCCATAGCCAGCTCTGGAATGAGATACCAGGTAAATGAACCCATAGCCAGCTCTGGAATGAAATACCAGGTAAATGAACCCATAGCCAGCTCTGGAATGAGATACTAGGTAAATGAACTCATAGCCAGTTGTGGAATGAGATACCAGGCAAATGAACCCATAGCCAGCTCTGGAATGAGATACCAGGCAAATGAACTCATAGCCAGCTCTGGAATGAGATACCAGTTAAATGAACTAATAGCTAGCCCTGGAATGAGATACAAGGTAAATGAACCCATAGCTAGCCATGGAATGATATTACAAGCAAATAAACCCCTAATCGATTCTGGAATGAGATTACCAGACAAATGAACCCATAGTCAGCTCTGGAATGAGATACCAGGTAAATGAACCCATAGTCAGCTCTGGAATGAGATACCAGGTAAATGAACCCATAGCCAGCTCTGGAATGAGATACCAGGCAAATGAACTCATAGCCAGTTGTGGAATGAGATACCAGGCAAATGAACCCATAGCCAGCTCTGGAATGAGATACCAGGCAAATGAACTCATAGCCAGCTCTGGAATGAGATACCAGGTAAATGAACCCATAGCCAGCTCTGGAATGAGATACCAGGCAAATGAACCCATAGCCAGCTCTGGAATGAGATACCAGGCAAATGAACTCATAGCCAGTTGTGGAATGAGATACCAGGCAAATGAACCCATAGCCAGCTCTGGAATGAGATACCAGGTAAATGAACTCATAGCTAGCCATGGAATGATATTACTATGCAACTAAACGCATAACTAGCTCTCGAATGCGATACTAGGCAAATGAACCCATAGCCAGCTCTGGAATGCAATACCAGGTAAATGGACTCATAGCCAGCTCTGGAATGAGATACCAGGTAAATGAACTCATAGCCAGCTCTGGAATGAGATACCAGATAAATGAACTCATAGCCAGCTCTGGAATGAGATACCAGGTAAATGAACCCACAGCCAGCTCTGAAATG